TAGCTCGTGGCCTGGTGCAAGCTCGCCCACACACATAGAACGGCCAGAAGCATTTCTTGAGCCTTCGGACGCATAAAATGCGCCTCGTCCACGCCCAGAGGGTACAAGCGTGACAAATCCCGCCGAACTTCCTCCAGCAGCTCCAACCCCGCATAGTACCTCCTCCACGCTCCGCCCTCTCCGGCCCCTGGCTTCCTCGCCTTACTTCCTTCCCTCCTCAGCGGTCCTTCCTTGTCTTTGCTCCCCTCCTTCGTTGTCTCTTCTCCGTCTTTCCCTTCCTCAACCTCCTCCCTCGTCAGCTCCTCTTTCGGGGCCGCCGTCAAGGCGGACAACGGGTCATCATCGCCCTCCTTGCTTACACGAGTAAAGTCTGGATACAGCTGTTGCTTCCAGTCCGCATATTGTTGCCGTGCTGCCTGTAACCGTACGGGCCACTCCCCCAATTTATCTCTGGCCAAGGAGGCCCCGCCCTCTCGTGTGGGAGGCAAGACGTGCAAAAAGAAACGCCACGCCAGCCCCCGGGCGTGCGATGGAAGACCTGACCTTTCCAGGGCCAGGGACTTTAAAACGTGCAATTGCTGCTCATCCCAGGCTGTGGAAGTGTCTGCCAATTTTCCAAGGAAGTCGTCCATGGTGGGCCTGGGAACTCCCTGCGTGCAGGGTAGGTGGATGGGACGGGGGAAAGTCAGGCTGGTGGCCACAAATAAGGGTGCGAGAACATGAGTCCTATTTTGAATGGGTCTCAAAACTGCCCGGTGTGGACACACGCTGGTGGGGATGCGTGTAAACACTCCTACGAGCAAGTCATGAACGGGGACGGAGGGGCAAGTTGCCCTCTGGCGAACGCACACGTCGACAACGTCCGTCACGTTCAATACTATACAGGTCCCCAAAACAAAAGCATGCACACGTCTTTACGCATGCCTGTCGGTACTGTGGCAACTGGAGGTCATAACTTGTTTGCATTTTGAAGCGGTGAAAGAATTTCTTTGTAACGCAAGTGTCGCGCCACTCCGGCGGCACCGGTCGAAACACGGAGAGACCTCAAGTTCACAACCATGCAGAAAAATGGGAATGTTTATTTATTGCATAAATGTGCCTCTCACATTCATGTCTCTCTCGTCGGCAAAAGGCACACTTTACACCCAGCACGTGCCCCCAAACAGCCATTTACTCCCTTTTTGCCCATCTGGTGTACTTCCCACTGCCACCGTCCTTCCCCTTCGTCTTCCTTGCCTCACATTTGCGCTGCCCCTCCTCGTTCCAGCCTCCTTACATCCCACCTACATCATGAAACCTTCCCTCTATCACTCTTCGCTACCTCCCGATCCCCCTCCGCCCGCCCTTTTCATCTGCGTCCGCTCCTTGCGCATCCTGGGTTGGGCTTTGCTGGTCCCCAATCGCACATTAATAGGCCGCCCGTCCATCTCCCTCCCGTCCAAGGCGGCGATAGCGCGCTCGCCTTCTTCCTTGTCCGCCATCTGTGCGCACGGGGCCATGGGAAGATTGAAAGAAACGAAACAAAGGAGGCTGAGGGAACACAGGAGTTACATCCACCTTATACTCGCTACTCTTCCCGGCTCATCACTCTCTTCCATCTCCACCATCCCCCGCCCTGGCCAGGGCCCTGTACTCTAAGAGGACAGAGCACCCCATTTCTTCCTCCCCCCGGCACATGTTACAGACCTCGACAAAGCCGAAGCCCTTGGAGCGGTTGAGCTGGTCCTTGACGATGGTGACAGACACCACGCCCCCGTGCTCGCTGAACATTTCCTGCACGTCCGCCTCCGCCATCTGAAAGGGGAAAGAATAAGGAAAGATAAGGAAGGTTACGCTTCTGCTAGAGGAATTTGCGCTGCCGACGAGCACAATCAGGTCCTCCTCCCGAGGGAACCCACCGTCAGAGTGGAGCACCCTACCCAGCGCGCGGGCAGCAGAA